GGCAGCAGGGAAGGGAGAAGCAGAGCAGATTCGGCGGCTTTTCTGCAAGAGAGAGAAGTTCTAAGTTCTAGACTTGTTCTTGGGCAAGAGGAGAACAAAAATCATCAAGTTCTCTTACCAATTTTTCGGGAGGAGTAGGTGTTGGTGAAGGCTGGTGGTGTTCGGCTGCAGAAGGGAAAGAAAACAAAGCAGACGCGAAAATGGTTGGAAAGAAAGAAGGAAAGAAGAAAAAGATAAAAAGGAATGAGTCAGCCGGCCTTATCCAAACACCTTTTTAACCCCTTTAAAGTTTGGAAAACTGACGATTAGGTCCATTAATAATGTTTTCTCACCATTAAGTCCCTAACTCACACTTATTTGTTCTTGAAATTTTGGGGTATTACATCCACCCCTCCTAAAAAGGAGTTTAGTCCCCTAAACTCATACCTCAATCTTGGAAGAGGTGCGGACGTTCCTGCCTTATCTTGGATTCCAACTCCCAAGTAGCTTTTTCAACCGAATGGTTGTCCCAGAGGACCTTAACAAAACGAATGGTCTTTCTCCGCATCATCCTCTCCTTGAAATCTAAAATGCGGATCGGGTGCTCGTAATAAGTAAGATCCTCCCGGAGTTGAATTGGTTTGGGATTAATGATGTGATTCGGGTCGGGAACATACTTCCGAAGTAAGGACACATGAAACACATCATGAACACCTGCTAGATTTCCAAGCAACTCCAATTTATAAGCTACCTCGCCAATCCTTTCCAAGATGGGATATGGTCCAATATACCTTGGACTCAATTTTCCCAGGATGCCAAACCTGAGGATACCTCGAGTAGGTGACACCTTCAAAAATACATGGTCACCAACTTCAAACTCAAGGTCTCGTCTCCTTCTATCCGCATAGCTTTTCTGCCGGCTTTGTGCAGCACGAAGGCGTTCCTTGATCAACTGCACAATCTCAGAAGATTGCTGCACCAATTCTGGGCCTAAAATGCTCCTTTTGCCCACTTCCATCCAACAAACAGGTGATCTACACCTTCGACCATACAAAGTCTCAAACGGTGCCATGCGGATGCTGGACTGATAACTATTATTATATGCAAATTCAGCCATGGATAAGTGTTGATCCCATGAACCCTTCCAATCTAGAACACAAGCCCTCAACATGTCCTCAAGTATCTGAATAGTTCTCTCAGATTGCCCATCAGTTTGAGGATGAAAGGCCGTGCTGAAATTTAATTGAGTACCGAGTGCCTGCTGTAAGCTAGTCCAGAAAAGAGACAAAAATCTGGTATCTCTATCTGACACAATAGACACAGGGACTCCATGCAGTTTGACTACCTCCTGCATGTACATATTAGCAAGCTTTTCAATGGAGGTGCCAGTCCGGTAGGGTAAGAAATGAGCTAATTTGGTCAATCGATCAACGATGACCCAGATGGAATCATTACCCTTAAAGGTTCGTGGTAATCTAGTCACAAAGTCCATGGTGATGTTTTCCCACTTCCACTGAGGAATAGGTAACGGCTGCAGTTTTCTAGGAAGTCTTTGATGTTCGGCCTTGACTTTCTGGCAAGTCAGGCATTGTGAGACAAATCTAGCTATCTCTCTCTTCATGTTCCGCCACCAAAATGTACTACGTAAATCGCGATACATCTTGGTGCTACCTGGGTGAATTGTATAGCTAATATAATGGGCATCTCCCATAATCTCACGCCTTAAAGCATGATCTCTGGGTACACACAGCTTGTCACCAAACCACAGAATCTCATCATCAGAAATCCTAAATTCTTGCATGTGGGGTTCCCCGGCTCTTACTTTTTCCTTCATCTTCTGCAAGAAAGAATCTTTTTGTTGGGCAAGTTTAATTATATCTATTAATGCCGGTTGTGCACTGAGGGCGGCTAGATAAGCCGTAGTGTTGTCCACTCTCAACTCCACATCCAGCTTCACAAGATCCTCAAGTAACTCCTTCTGAGTGGCAAGGATGCTAGAGGCAGTGCCAGAGGACTTCCTACTCAACGCATTTGCTACCTTGTTAGCCTTGCCCGGATGGTAGCTAATGGTCAAGTCGTAGTCCTTTAAGAGTTCAAGCCATCGCCTCTACCTCATATTAAGCTCCTTTTGAGTGAAAATATACTTAAGGGTCTTGTGATCAGTGAAGATTTCACAAGTCTCACCATACAGATAATGCCTCCAGATCTTGAGTGCAAATACTATGGTTGCCAACTCCAGATCATGGGTAGGGTAATTTTCTTCATAAGGCTTTAACTGCCGAGAAGCATATGTAATAACCTTATCTTTTTGCATTAAGACACATCCCAAACCCTTTTTAGAGGCATCACTATATATAGTAAATCTTTCCCCATTAATTGGAAGTGCAAGTACAGGAGCAATGGCCAACTTCTCCTTCAAGGTCAAAAAGCTCTTCTCACACTCTGGGGTCCACTCAAACTTGGTGTCCTTTCTGATAAGACGAGTCATGGGCAGAGCAATTCTAGAGAAATCCCCCACAAATCGGCGATAATAACCAGCCAATCCCAGAAAGCTACGGATTTCTGCAACACTATTCGGCCTTTTCCAATCAACCACGGCCTCAATCTTCTGGGGGCAATAGAAATTCCATCCTTAGTCACAACGTGACCTAGGAATGCAACATTATCTAGCCAAAATTCACACTTCTTGAATTTAGCAAACAACCTCTCCCTTCTCAACGTCTCGAGGACTGTCTTTAAGTGCTTTTCATGAAGAGTGCGGCTAAAAGAGTAGATCAAAATGTCGTCAATGAAGACAACCACGAACTAATCTAGGTACTTGCTAAACACCCGATTCATCAAATCCATAAACCTGGCAGGGGCATTTGTCAAGCCAAATGGCATGACTATGAATTCATAATGACCATAACGGGTGCGAAAGGCAATCTTTGGCACATCATCCGGTTTAATCTTCACCTGGTGGTAGCCAGATCGAAGATCAATCTTAGAAAATACCTGAGCACCCTTGAGCTGGTCAAACAAGTCATCAATTCTAGGAAGGGGATACCGGTTCTTCACAGTCACCTTATTCAATTCCCGGTAATCAATGCATAGCCTCATGCTCCCATCCTTCTTCTTGACAAACAACACTGGAGCTCCCCAAGGTGATACACTAGGGCGTATAAACCCTTTCTCAAGGAGTTCCTCCAGCTGGACCTTTAACTCCTTCAATTCTGCAGGAGCCGTACGGTATGGTGCTTTGGAAACGGGTCCGGTGCCAGGAACAAGGTCAATAGCAAATTCAACCTCTCTATCCGGAGGTAAACCTGGGAGATCCTCTGAAAATACATCCGGAAACTCATGCACTACCGGTATGTCTTCTAGTCTCGATGTCACACTACTAGCATCAGTAATAGAGACTATGAAACCCTGGCAACCATTTACAAGATATTTCTGAGCCTGCAAGGCAGATACTAACACGGGTGGACCAAAAGAAACACTGCCTTGAAAATTAAATTCTAGCTCACCAGGAATATTAAAAATTACCCATTTCCGATAACAGTCTATAGAGGCAAAATGTTTTGACAGCCAATCCATCCCCAAAATGATATCAAAGTCAGAGATATCTAAAACAAACAAACTAGCACTCAACTGTCTACCATCAACATAAATATCCACAGTTCTACACACCTCCCTAGTAGTCATCACCCCTCCTAAAGGGGTGTCCACATGCAGTTCACAATCAGAGATATCAACAGGCAAAGCTCGTTTCAAAACATAAGATCGAGCAATAAAAGAGTGCGACGCACCCGAATCAAATAAAACATGCGCATAATCAGAGTTAACAGGCAAGGCATGGGTGATTACGTCGGTAGCCGCAGCTTCCTTATGAGTCATCACTTGTACTCTCGCCTACTAGGCTCTCGTTCTAACCCCGGCACTCTGTTTCTACGCCCCCTGACTGGTAGAACTCTGCGGAGAGGTAGGTTGAGTACTCTGAGCTTTAGGATCTAGCAGTGGACAATTTGCAATCCAATGTCCCTGCTTGCCACATTTGAAGCAAACCCCAATAACAGTGTGGCATTGATCCCGGGTGTGCCCAACCTTCCCACAAACGTGGCAAGTAAGTTGAGTAGGACGAGCACGTTGGGCCGTTGATGGTTTATAGACTATTAATCAATTGCTCCAACGAGAAATTTCCCAGCAAGTTTCCACTTCCGGGACTAGGCAACACAAAGCAAAATGAAATGAATAAAAATCTCACACATTAAGGAAAATCAAACAAGCGCCCTTAATCAACCCCACTCTCATACCTCACCACGTTCCTATCATACTTTACTGGCCAAGTTCTAGACTAATCCTAGGCTCTTAATTTAACCTAGGCTCTGATACCACTAAATCTGTCACGCCCCAGAACCCAAATCCAGGGACGTGGCAGACGTCGTGCACTCGTGAGAAGGTCCCACAAATGCACAAGGCTCGGAACTTGCTGAGTTCATACTTAGCAATTCAGGTAATTCAGATCTAAGCCTTTTTAATTACCAAATATTTACCAGTCAGATGTACAAAATTTATCACTTCATATATACAATCATGACTAACACTAAATTCTGTACACAAAATTTACTATGTCAAGCATGGGTGACTAACG